TGTAAAGTGACATAATGTGCACCTCTGCCTACCCCTTTGGGAATAAAAGGCGTGATGTTATGTTATGTTATGTTTAAATTCATATTATAATAATAACGGCCGTCTAACTTCCATTTAAAGACAACCTGCCCAGTGAGTCACATCGTAAAAGTGTAGCCAAAATTTCACCCTGTATTTATTTGGTTCCCATACACAGTGGTTAGGCGTGCATCACATGGACAAAAAGCCGACGTCACAAAGGACTGCAGACGGTTGCAATTTATTCTAAATAACGGGATCACAGATTTATGGGGACCACTATCCGAAACTGAGGCAAAAAGTGGGCGATTGACGTTTTGTTTTCAACTGTAATCCGGAGTTTAATATGTTGATATTTTTTGCTGTAGGCAGTGGCAATAGAGTCTATTATTATTTGCTGCCTAATACAACATTATTCATACTGTATTTAGGTAGTATTTAAACCCGAATTGAAATAGATAAGTAAAATGTTTTATAACTTTCGTGAGACATACTAAATAAATTATTATGTTTTCGGCTAACTCACGTAATAATTTGACGAGGAACTCGACTAGTTTCAAGCCATGCTAGAGGCTCATATTCATGAGCAGCATTTGGCGAACAGCGACGCGGTGACTGTCGCGCTGCTGTCTAGTCGACTTCCTCGTCAAATTATTACGTGAGTAAGCCGAAAACTTAATAATTTAAAAGAATTTAGTTGCTTTATCACTTATTGGATATCACTATTACCGATCATTTCGTAAAATCACTTCATTGTTTAACATTGTTAGTAACAATCCCTTCAATATATTATGGTATATCGTATTCCAACATTAGATTCTAGTTTTATACTAATTAGGATAACTGATGGGCAATCACCAAGAATCATAAAGATTTTATGGTTTCCTAATACAATTCCAAGTTTAGGAAAGAAATAATAAATCGATTAATTATTTATTTTCCAATAAAAAAGTCAACACCAATCAATTTTTATGCATATTTTAAAAACTAAGTGTTGTCATTGATTTTAACGAGACTGGTCTAAGATATTTTTTAAACTATTGGTTGTCCACGGCTGTGTTTGTAAAGTTTCAAACTACGATAGTTCAGATTTGCATTTGCACCACCTTTTTATAATCTGTCGTGGTGGCCCTGAGGCTAAGACACCCGCTTCTCGTGCATGAGGCGCGGGTTCGAAATCTAGCAACGGTAAGGCCTCTGACAAATGGTGAAGGAAAACATCGTGAGGAAACCTGGACATATAATTTCTAACTATAGTAGTAGTTTGAAATCGCCAACCCGCAATGAGCAAGCGTGGTGATTAATGCTCAAACCTTCTTCATGTGAGAAGAGGCTTTGCTTAGAAGTGGGCACTTATAGGCTGTTGCTGTAGTATAATATTGGCCCATGGTTGAAAGTAATTGCTGGAACCTTTATGCTTGAGAAGAGGGTCGAAGTTAATAGTTTAAAAGGTTTGTGTTTATGTAGCAGTACTTTCCTATTTCTGTCAAATGAGTAATTAACTAAAAATTCTCCAATAGGATACGCGAAATCGCTGCGACGGTGCACGCTGCTCATAAGGAAGAGTCCCTCTGTGACTCGAAACTAGTAGAGCTTTTCTAAGTATATTTACGTGAGTAACTGGAAATATTTAGTTAATTCATTGTGTCTCACAATAGTTATTATAAAAAAAAATAAGTAATTCAGCACTTACCTACTACAAAATATATTATCACACGATATCAAACCTTATCACATCGGACTAAGATGCAAGATATGTTAAACAATATATATATTTTTGGTCTACCATCACCACGCGGTGTGTCTGAGTTTACTCATTCATAAGTAGAAATGGACTCGAACTCAGGATAAGTGGACAAACACATATTTATTACTAGTATCGATTAATGGACGAACCAGAGCGCATTATCAGCATAAATTAACATTTTTATTGTATCTAACATAATTACACTTGTGACTATATATAATTAAGTACTATCTTTTGAATATTCATACTTATTAATGTTATAAAATCTTATCCGAGTTAAATAAATTGTGGTTAAATAAATATTAAACGATTTTGTTTATGTGACATTTAAATTGAACTTTATTATTAAACAGTACGACTTACTATAGTCCGAATGGTAAAGGCTACTCAATTTTAAGTTTTACTTATTGGGCCATCTCTTTCTTTTTACAAAGACTTTGTTATGACAGAACTGTGCTTTGTGCAGCTCAAAATTGAATAGTTTCATTTGATTTGAGCATGTCTATTTTTAACAAATGTTTGTTTTTAATTAGATCTACATTTGCCTTACATAAATATATTTTTATTCCTTTTTAATTTTAGGGACTTTTATACCGCACAACGTATGTCAGTCCGATCGTAACCTAATAAGGTATAAATCAACTAGAGATCAAATTCTCGGTAGGAGTATACAAAAATTCGTTTGATGTTTTTATTGGTTCTTATTTTTCGTTAATGCCTTCGCACATAATATAATCACACAAAATACCTCTTCAATTAACTAATTTTGCGCAGCTAGCCGTCGTACTTTATCTCATTGGCTGTATCAAGTCCGTTAATTGCAACATGGCGGATTGAATCTTGCGGCTCGGCGCATGCGCCGGCGTTCATATTTGTTGTAATTTTCACGTCATTACGCATAACGTAGCGTTGGCGGTTTGTTGAAAGCAAACACAGAACAAATAGAGCAGATATGACAGTGTGAAAGTCTGCGCACGATCCTATCTCTGTCTTGCTGTCTGATTTTAGATTATGTTTGCAGAATTGTTATTGTAAAGGCTGAATTAGTAGTTTATCTAGGCACGGGATGATAAGATACAACATTTATTATGTAGATTTAAATTCAAAAAATATTAACATTGCCTTCATTATCTGACTAGAATGGCGATATATTACAGAAGGGCTAAATCACACTTAACGGACGAGCATGCATGAAAAGATTGATGAAGAGAAAGAGGTAAGAGAACACCAATTGCTACGATTCCTGTCATAGGAATCGTAGCGATTGATGTTCCATTGGCTCTGCCTACCTCCACCAGAGACAGGCGTGGAGATACGTACATATGTATGTATGTATAGCCATCATTATTAGCAACGTTCCATGCATAGCATAGCTAATTACTAAATTGTAGGCTCTTTTTACAAAACTTATAACAGTATTTAACATGAAAAATGAAAAATTTGTTTAAAATCTTTTTAATTTTCGTGAAAACACAATCAAGACCAAAACGAGAAACGATGCTCAGGTAGGTATTCTTAACCAAACAAATGAGTCCTCGTCACATTTAAATTGAGTTACAGACTATAATGAAGCATAGAATACTAACATAATTAATTTAGTCACGATTAGCTTTACACAATTAATCATTTATTATTGGGACGATGTTATTAATCTTATTTTTCTCATTGTAATAGTATCTTAATTACGACATTCGAAATGAAATCTTCAATTAGAAAAACTAAGTACAAAGGCTGCCTCATTGTCCTAGTGGTCGCAAGTGCGACTGCCGGGTAAGGGGTCTCGGGTTCGATGGCCGGGTCGTGTAAAGTAATACTGGGTTTTTAAAAAATTCTCAGTGGTACACGGAGTCTGGAATTGTGCCCGGTATATGGCAATAGGGCCTATACAATGGGACTCATAACATGTATAGTGAAAAGTGGGTGTTACATTGTACAGTGGCATAATGTGCACCTCTGCCTACCCCTTCGGGGATAAAAGGCGTGTCCTTTCTTTCTTGTTTTTGAAAAAACATTGCGCCAGACTAGGATTTTCTGCTATCTCGTGGGTGCGTTTACAAACACACAAGTTCACATACACATGACACCCAGACCCGAAACAACAATTTGTGGATTACACAAAGAGTAGTTCCATGCGGGAATGGAACTCGCTACACGTTGCGCGGCAGCCAACTGCCCAGCCACCGCACCAACCGTGCAGTCGAAGCTGCAAATAATAATACAAAATGTTATCTCGAACAATTTCCGATTAACTGTCGTATCTACACTAACGAGTCTTAATCTTTGACACATAGGATTAGAGAAATGTGCGGGCAATTTTCATCGCTTTTATGATAATGTGGTTAGGAGTATTGCGCTCTGAACATTTTACTTCTAATGCGTTCTGATATGGATGACTGCTATCTTAAATTGAAATCCAGGCTAGATGCGAAGAAAGTTTAATTCAGTAGTTTTGTTCTACCATTTTTTGTTTATGATCGCCTGGTACATTGTGTTTGTTTTTATACTTGTTTGTTACTGTTTTTGGGTGGAATATGTGTTTTAATTTGTTTATAAAATGTATGTTTTGGGTACAATCTATATTTTGAAGTTATGAAGGATTAGTTAATAATATTTTAGTGTACTGTATAATTATTTAAAATTCTCTACAGTTTACATTTTTAAATACTACTTACAAAATAAAAAAAATATATTTTAAAATATACAAAATAGGAGCTGACCAGTGGCGGGAGCATGGTCCAAGCTACCATTGGTTAGGACTCTATAGACAGAAACCTCCTCACGATACGTGCCGTTTCTAAGAGAACTGCCTTCTGTATCAGGCCCTTGATTCATCTACCTAACGCCAGTCTCCTGAGATGGATGTCGAGGCTTTTAGGGATTAACCCATTGGCCGAGACAACTATCGGTACAATGATAGCCGAATCCACACTCCACATGTCGACAACCTCGTGAGCTAAGTCTAGATATTTTATTTGTTTATCTTTTTCAGCTTTCACGGGGTTCTCGTCATGGGGAATGGTGACATCGATTATCATCGTGCGGCGTACTTATCGGTCTATTACCACTATGTCATTTATTATTTATTGGCTACAATAGTAGTCTGTATTATTATTATTATTTCGTGATAATAGCAAACTTTTTTGACTATGCTTGAATTGCAATTATGTTTTATAATCGTTTGTTGAGTAGTTCAAATATTTGATTTATTAACAGCACTTTTTCATTTTGTCAACAGATACGGCACAGATTCGGTTTGTTCGATGAAGTGTGTACTTCTGGTGGAGTCCAAGTCCGCCACTGTAATTGGGTTCGATTTCTGCGAGTGTCAGATAACTATGGACCACAAGTAAGTGAAATAATACTTATTATTGAATTTAAATGTAGTCTAATTTATTTATTCATATATAATCATTTATTAAACAAATAGATACCAATTATTAGTTACCATACTTGTCATTGCAATTGATAGTCTCTGAATTGAGCGCTAATACAAATTCGTATTATTTATTTATTTATCTCAGGCATCTTGGCCATAGTATATAAATAAACAACAATACAATACAAATAATCTCGGCTACTATACATACATCTACATAATATTAAATTTTTATGCAATCGGTGGCCGGTTTACAATCAAATGATCAGTAAGCTTTGTTGCTACTGTCATTAATAAAAAAACAATCTAATTTAGAGCATGAAACATCAGTTTCATAATATGTACGAGCTGTTTGCCCGTACACAGAAATGTGTTTGTTGTGTGTAGTATGTTGTCAACGAAGACGGGATGTTCACAGAAATAAAATTACTGTTTTTGTATCCGTTCTCGAAGAGAGTATTTATTGTACTACATTAGTTAATTAGTGTGGCTATAAATAACATAATTTTGTTAGTAGGTTGCGTCATGAATGCACCAATAGCGCCCATTCGGCAAAATGTTAGTATAGCAGAATAAGTTAAAAAGTAAAACAATTGAAATCATGTGGCGATGCTCGTACATCCTACCAACCACAAAAATTAAAGAAATTAACACTTTACACCTACAAATTATACAAATCAAAAGTAAGATAAATAACTTAAACTGATTATTGTTCACTGCTGAATGGGATAGGAGATGTTCCATTGTCAACCCTGTTGATGACTCTGGGACATGCCTGAAGTCGGGGTCCAGTGATTTGATTTGTTGTCGGTTCGTTTCCTTCCGGTCTCGAGATCTTGGAGTCTTCCACAGTTACCATCTCAATATCTTCCTTGTGTCTTGAAGGGTGGACCTTGGTTGTTGAATTTTGATAGACACAAATTCTTTTCATCTTGTAGAATGCCCATATGCAGAAAACAATTCCACATATTGAAATAAAACCATAGAGTACGTAATGATGTTGTTCTGCATCTGTTGATTTTATGGTTTGTATACTCTGTTGTTCCTTGATCTGTTCTATTTTTCTCTTTATATTGTTAAATTGTTCTTCGTGTGTCTCAATCTTGAAGTCCGTGTAGTTTCCGATGTTGTTGTTACTAGTAAGTAAATAATTTATGTTTGTTTCTGGTATATAGATGTCTTCCTCATTTCCTATTTCCAACGTACTTTGCAGATTGTAGTGTGAGTGAATCAGATGGTTGTCACCGCGCATCATACATCCTGTCGCTAAGGTGATCATTCCTGTGTTACGTAGAGTCTGTGACGTAATCCCAGCTGGACAAAAAATGCGCATAGTGCATTCCTCGCAACACGTGTACAGCCAAGCGTCCTTGCTGTGTAGCTTAAACCATTTATTAGTGCAACTTGATACCTCTGTGTGACAACTGGATACTCCACGATTGTTTATAATGTCCGCTTCGCATATGTTAGTTGTTGTTTTTATTTCATATATGGGTAAATCAAAGTTACATAACAGCTGATACGTGTTATCTTCTATGCATGATTGTATTTGATGTTCATTTAAAGGTATCATCAGATCCTTTTTTAAATTCACTGCTATGTATTTTGTAGTTGGCATTATGTTGATCATTGAAGCTCCCTTTATGTTGTAAATTGGTATAACTTCCGTTAATTCGTATTGTTCGTCTGTTATTAAGGGGATTTTGACTTCAAAAATAAGGAAGTTATCGATTAGTTTTCCATGAACTCTAGATAATTTGTACAACCGTCTGATGCATTTAAGATTGTTAGTGCAGGGTAGTGATAATCCTTTAGGCACTTGTGCTGATATAATATTGAGCTCCCTTTCAAACGCATCAGGTTTTAACAAGTGTGTGTCGACTCGTCCGTTGCGAAGATCTGTAACTAGGTCCATCAGAGTGTCTTGTATTCTTCGTAAGTTTGCAACCATCATATTCGCAGCAAGTGCAGTTGCAGTAATGAATGTTAAATGATCTTGTTCAGTTTTGAGTCGGTTTACTGATTCACTTAATCGTTTGTTGATAAGTATGAATTGTCTGTTCATTACTTGTTCGTTTCGTTTTAGCAGATTGTATTCTCCTTCAATGACCGATGTATGGTTTTTGAACAGAGTCAGTAGGTGATCTTCATTGCTCTGAATCAACTTGATGTCTTCATGGTATTTTTCGGCGAATTTGTCATCTAAGACACCGAAGAGGTAACTAGCAGCGTTCCCAATTCCATTTATGAGGCCTCGCTTGCTACGTTTTCCATGTTCAGATAACAGCACTGTATGGTAATGTCGTAGTTCGTTTAGTTCGTGTTCAAATTGTGTGGAGATAGCAAAATAGGCCAAATTTTTGTGATCAAATGATTGCAGTTGCTTAACATACTGTTCTACAGCAGATACACTTGTCCAGTACGTTGACATGTTGTAATAAATCACCAGTTTCCATTCATCTTGTATTATTTGTAAGTCTGCGATTTTGTCAAAGTATAGCAGACGAGATGGATCGAGAGATGTAACGTTAACTGATTGCTGTGCGGATGGTGTGACACAAATAATCATGAAAAGTAGCAACGAACTCAAGCAACTCATGACAACACCTTTCTTTGGTATCGAAGATTTCTGTCGACGTCGGAGCGGTCGTGACATCTCCTTTTGTTTATTGATGGTATCCTGTATCGGCGTGTCCTGTGTTTGACTCTTTGTGTCAATGGGAAGTCGAGATACCTTTGTTATAGGTCTTTTTATAATGTTAGTTTTCGTTTTCACTGTGACGACTCGTACTAAGTCGTCAGCTCCAGGATGTGTTTCTATTACACGTCCAAGTAACCATCTGGCGGGCGGCGCATGTTCTTCTTTGATAAGGACAACATCACCCACTGCGATGTTTTGTGTAGGAGTTTGCCATTTTCCTCTCAACTGTAATGTTTGTAGATAGTCGTTTGACCATTTCTTCCAGAACCCTTTAAACATGTTTTCTGTGAGACGCCATCGTATAGTGAGGCTGGTGTTATCAATTTCTGTCGGCACAGGAGGGGCGAGAACCGGACCGCCGACTAAAAAGTGTCCAGGTGACAAATAATCGATGTCGTCGGCATCATTTGTTAAAGCAACGAGTGGTCTTGAGTTGAGGCAGGCTTCTATCTGTACCAGCAAAGTGGTGAACTCTTCGTATGTTAACTTTTGTTCACCAAGAACACGTTTAAGATGGTGTTTCATGCTCTTTACTGCAGCTTCCCAGAGACCCCCCGCTGTTGGCCAGCTTGGGGCATTAAAATGCCATTCAATTCCATACTCGGAAATGTTGTGGATGAGGTCGTTGTTTACTATAAGTTGAAGTGCCTGTTGGCGTTCCTTTGCTAGTGCCTTTGCTGCGCCGACAAAGTTTGTTCCATTGTCGCTGTAGACATGTTTCGGAGTCCCACGCCGAGCACACAGTCGTTTCAAGGCTGCTAGAAATGTAGTGGTACTAAGATCAGACACCAACTCAAGATGTATAGCCTTGGTACACAAACAAATAAAAATAGCGATGTATGCTTTAACTGTTTTTATGCCTCGTCCTTTATTGGCTTTTATTTCCACCTGTCCAGTGAAATCTACACCTGTATGTGTGAATGGCCGCGACGGTGTAACTCGAGGCGCCGGTAGGTCAGCCATCAGCTGACTGCTGCGTTGTGTTTTGTAGCGGTGGCAAGTGACACATTTGTTTAATTGTGACTTGATTGTTTTCATGCCGCCGAGAATCCAATATTTATTTCGGATGTATCCCAAAGTTAGCCTAGCACCGCCATGAAGGGTAGTTTTATGGGCTTCGTCAATTACTAGTTGAGATAACTTGTGGTTGTTTGGTAAAATTATAGGATGTTTTTTAGAGTTGGATAAGTTCGAATTTGCAAGCCGACCCCCCACTCGAAGAATACCGTGTTCATCTACTATCGGGTTCAAGCTCAATAGTTTACTCGTGGTTCGTGGCTTATTGTGTTTACGTATGTTATGTATTTCATCGCCAAAACAATTGTTTTGGACAGTGTTGACGATTAGTTGCTGAGCCAACTCTAAGTCCTTTGACGTCAAGTGTGAGGCTCGCGTGGCTCGTGTTACATAGCGGGAGTTGTTTACAAATCGCAATATCCAACTTATAACTCTGTTTGCAAAAGTCAATGAACTGTACTTTTGCAATAATTCTTCAATAAGTGGCGCGGTTTTTGTTTGTGTGGCACATGTTTGTTTTTGTTTCTTTATCTCTTCGGTTGTGGTAAACGTATTGTGTTCGGGTATATTCTCAGTTCGAAGCCAGGAAGGGCCACTCCACCATTGTGTATGCCTCATGAAATCAGCTGGGGAGAGTCCTCTGCTGGCGCTATCCGCAGGATTTTCTTCTGACTTGACGTGTCTCCAGAATTTTGACGGAATTATCTGTGTTATCTGTACAACTCGATTGGCCACAAAGCTTTTCCAGCGACTTACATCACCTTGTAGCCACCCAAGTACCACCATTGAATCAGTCCAGCAGTACGAGGGGATCGTTGACAGGTTGATAGAATTTTTGACCTTTTTCATTAGTTGAGCTAGCAGGGCAGCACCGCATAACTCTAATCTAGGCAGAGAGATTGGATTTTTCAGCGGAGCTAATTTTGTTTTTGCTACAACCAGCCTGATCAGCTGATCGCCTTTTTTGTTATGAGATTTGCAGTATACCACACACCCATAGGCTCGTTCAGATGCGTCACAAAATCCATGTAGCTCGAATGGTAGTTCAGTGTTGCCAATCCACCGTGGTATTGTAATTTCATGAAGGTGAATCATCTGACTGCGGAATTGTTCCCACTCTTGTTGTATGCTAACAGGAAGCTTATCATCCCAGCTCATAGTTGCGGTCCAAGCTAGTTGGAAGATCAACTTGGCCTTTAGGGTAACTGGTGCTAGCCAACCAAGCGGGTCATAGAGTTTAGATATGTCCGAAAGTAGGTTACGCTTTGTGTTAAACTCACGCTTAGTGCAAATAGCCGTTAACTGTGTGTATGAAAACTGATCCGTGTGCGGGTTCCAAGTTATGCCCAGTGTTTTGTTTGTTTCGGCATCTTTGAAATCAAACATTCTTTGGCTTATTAATTCATTAGGTAACTTTTCCAACAGGCACGAGTTGTTGCTAGCCCATTTACGGAGGTTGAATCCTCCGCCCTTCAGTAGAGTGATAAGTTCGGTTTGGGCTTTCTGTGCCGTTATGATGTCATTGCAACCTCCCAATAAATCATCCATGTACAGTTGATTGGAAAGCATGTCTGCTGCTAGAGGGTATTGCTCGCCGTCGTCCTTAATCAGTTGTTTGATCGTGCGCATAGCTAAAAACGGAGCCGATTTGGTGCCATAAGTTACTGTAGTCAGTTGAAACTCCTTCAGGGGATCAGAAGCAGAGTCGCGCCAGAGAATTTTTTGTAAATGTTGATCTGTCTCATGAATGCGTATCTGTCTATAAAATTTTTCAATGTCGGCTGTATATACGTATTCAAATGTTCTCCATCGAAGTATTAAACCTTGTAAATCTTGTTGTAAGTTTGGTCCGCATTCCATAAGTTGATTTAGGCTTCGTCCCGTACTAGTTGTTGCAGATGCGTTGAAGACCACACGGAGTTTAGTAGTGGTTGAATCAGGTCGTAGTACTCCATGATGGGGTAAATAGCTAGTAGGTTTCATCAATGTTGTGCATGGTTTCATGTGATTTAAAGCTATGTACTCGTCGATGAAGGCTTTATAGCTTGCCGCAAATATTTCATCTCTAGCTAATCGTTTTTCTAGTTGCTTGAATTGTGCAGCTGCTTGCGGTTTGGACAGCCCCAAATGCTGTTCAAAGTTTGGTTTCATTGGGATGCGAACTTCGTAATGTCCATCTTCAAGTCTTCTTGTAGTAGTAGCGTATAATTTCTCACAGTACTCCTCACTGACGGTCAAGGATTCGGTGTTAGATATTATTTCTTCCATTTCCCAAAACCGTGAAATATTCTCGGAGTTTACAACTACATGGCAGTTGAATGTCTTTGTGTTTCCAACTAATACCCATCCGAGTTTCGTTTGTTGCGCAATAGGTGCATGTATGTTTCCTCGAAGGATGTTGCTCATGATTATATCTGCGTAAACTCCAGCATCAAGTAAAATGTCAATGGGGCGTGATAAGTTGAAATGTGGATCAGCCAGGTTTATATTCTGTATGTGAGGCCAGTCCTGTCTTTCAAAGGAATAATTAGGTAGATTGTTAAGTAGCTTAGGCATTACCAGAGCTTGTGTTGTAAATTGGTAACTCTCATATATCGATGAGCAGTTCAAGTTAATGGTACCATTGCTGTGGCACGCAAGAGTTCCTACTCCGGTCACAGTAGAGTTTTGATTGCTTCTTGGTAGACCAAGCCGTTGCGCTGCAGATTCAGTTATAAGATTTAGTTGAGAACCTTGGTCCAAAAGGCATCGTAATGTTATATATGTTCCATCAACTGCTTGTACCTTAACTTGTACAGTCGCCAGTAGAACTTCGTTAAAATCTCCTGACACGTGATTAGATTTTCCTTGTGAAGTTGATGATTTGTTATAATGATTGGCCTTGTTGAGAGGTTGTTGACCGGTGAAAGAGTCGCGTAGCATATCATGTAGCGTCGTGTGGTGTGGGTCATTGCATACTCGGCACCTTTTACGCGAATTGCATTTATTTCCATTGTGCGAAAACATGCAATTCTTGCAAATGTCCAATTGCTCAATCGACCGCATTTTTATGTCCGGTGTCATTTCTTGGAATGACTTGCAATGTAGTAAAATGTGGTTAGTTTTGCAAATAGGACAATTTCTGTCGGAACTTGTATGATTCGCCTTGGGAGCATGCTTGTATTTGTTGTACGCATCCCGTTGGAATGTTGAAGTAGTAAATTCCTTCTTTGGAGCCATCAGTGGCGCATGGAATTGTTTGTTGTTGGTTGTAGGGGTCCTTTTCTTTGCCACAGATTCCAGTGCAGTAAACTTGGCCTCTATGAACTCGATAAATTCATGAAAATTAGGAAGTTCTCGGGGATGTTTCCTTGCTTCCATGTAATCGGAAAGAGTTTGGGAATCCAGCTTTCCTGACAAGATATGCACCAGAATAGGGTCCCACGTGGTTGTGTCAATTCCTAAGTTGCGCAAGGCATGCACCGTTTCTAGACTCGTGTCGTGCAGGCGCTTCAGTTCGTGAGAGTTTTGATGTTGAATGGAAGGCTGACTCATCAAGGTTTGCATCTGCTTTGAGAATAACAGCTGCAGGTTGTTGTACCTGTGGTTTAGAATTTCCCAGCAAGAGTCATAATTGCTTTCGGAAACAGGTAAATGTTGTACCAAGCGCTCAGCTTCTCCCTTCAACTTCCCTTTTAGATGTTGCATCTTCTGACCCTTGGAAAAGGAAGGGTTGTTATGAATAGCAGCAGTGTATAAATCCAAAAATGTAGGCCATTGTGAGTAGGTACCAGAGAAAATTGGTATTTCTATCTTCGGAGCGCTGTCGCGTTGTTGTACAGCAAGGTTGAGTTTACGATTAAGGTTGCGTTTTGTTGACTCGTAAGTATCTTCATACTTTGAGAACTCAAGCTCGTAGTTTACGTCGCTACCAACAAGGATGTTGTCGAGTTGCCAATGGACATCATCAATCAACTTCCATCTGGACTCGAGAGTCTTGAGTTTGTCTTCAATGTCCCATTTTTCACTGATGTCAGCAATATTTAGGTTGCGTGTGAAGCGGGAGAAGGCTCGAAAGTTAGTGGCTTGTTGAGTTTTGAGCTCATCAGATTTGGAATAAACACCCGTGTTCTTGCTGAGCTCGCCTGGACTTCCAACTGCCTCCTGATCCTGATCACCAGCAACATATGTAGGCCAAGATTGTAATTTTTGTTGTGTGTTAATATATTCAAGCTTGACCAGGTCATATGCTTTACTGGCATAGTATTCATGCATCTGGTTTTCAGAGAACTGCAACACGCCGTGGTTCATTTCAAACTCATTCCAGAGAGCCTTCAGGTTATCCAATCTAACTTTGATGTAAGTTGTAGTCTTACGGTCTGGACCATCTTTTCCAAAGTTGATACCAATCTTCCTGATGCCTTCGGCGATGATCTGCTGCCGCTTGAGGAGTTCTTGTTGTTTAGTGTCCATTGTTGTTATTGAAATGTTATTGAACACTCTGTTTTACTTCAAATAGCTTCCGGATCGCTTACTGTTCGTGGTTCCTGTTATGGTCACCGGGTCAGCAGAAATCACTACGTACGATATATGCGCCTTCTCAATCCGACCGGGGCGATCCGCTTGTGGAAGACCGGTCAAACCGATTCGCTATCGTAAATAGAGATTCTACGAACCTGATGATGCTTGCGGGGCTGTTGTTCCAGTAGCGCGGTATCCGGCTCGAAGGACCAAAATGTACGAGCTGTTTGCCCGTACACAGAAATGTGTTTGTTGTGTGTAGTATGTTGTCAACGAAGACGGGATGTTCACAGAAATAAAATTACTGTTTTTGTATCCGTTCTCGAAGAGAGTATTTATTGTACTACATTAGTTAATTAGTGTGGCTATAAATAACATAATTTTGTTAGTAGGTTGCGTCATGAATGCACCAATAGCGCCCATTCGGCAAAATGTTAGTATAGCAGAATAAGTTAAAAAGTAAAACAATTGAAATCATGTGGCGATGCTCGTACATAATACATGATCATTTAGTATCATTAATGATTAAATAAATTTGAGTCAGTTATTTTTCAAATCGTAAACGCATTAACACCACCATTATCTTTTGTAATCATTTGTTTAAAGACTAGCTATTTAAATTAGCCATACAGATAACATTATAACCCTTATAGAAGGTGTACAACAAAAGCTTTAACCTACATAATCTAACCCCCCGTCCTTGTCGCGAGGAACCTAACGGGTAACCGGGGCTCCGGCTCGACGTGCAGGAGAAGGAATGGGGTGGTTTTTAGTCAGTAAGAGTCTGGCATTCCCTCCCGCCTCACCCAGGCGGGAGCAGGCATTCGATGATTTTCCCCCCTTAAAAAAACCCCTCCTTCCCCAATCCCTGAATCCCCATCAGTCCTCAAATTCCTAATCCCAAAAGGCCGGTAACGCATTTGTAATGCCTCTGGTGTTCCAGTTGTCCATGGGCGATGCCGATTGTTTACCATCAGGTGATCCGTCTGCTCGTTTATCGGCTTATTCCAAAATTCAAGTATCTACTTAACTTAGAAATTACCTACCAACTTTAGACTTATGTAAAATCACAGTGACCTTGACAATACTGATGCCAGTTTCATATCACCAGGTAAACCTAGTCTGCACAAAAGTCAAGGGTGAGCCGGTCTATGAAGCGGTGAAGCCTGTGTCAGCACACACAGAGCTGGTGGTCTACTACCTTCCTGAGAGACCTGAGGAGATGTTCTTCGTGAAGATGAGGAACAACCTTTACAGACAAACTATGGACTCGATATTGGAAGGTAATTTTGAGAACCTTAATGATATTGGTCTTATCTATAGATTTTAATATATCTTTGGTCTCATCAAATATTCAATATTTCATAATTCTGAAACGAAACTAATTTTGCCTAATTTTGGTCTTTTGGTCCAAAAATTTGGTCAGTATTTCATCCATTTACATATTTTAGATATAAGTAAATAAAATCTAGAATTTAATGCATTCACGCATACTGTCGAAAAGAAATTTACAAATTCGCATACATATCATCACGCCTTTTATCCTCGAAGGGTTAGGCAGAGGTGCACATAATGCCACTACAATGTAACACCCACTTTTCACTATTTATGAGTCCCATGTAATAGGGGGTGTGCTTATTGCCATATACCGGACACAATTCCAGACTCCGTGCTAATACTGAGATTTTTTTAACCCCAGTAGTACTTTGCCGACCCGGGAATCGAATCGGAAACCACTCGGCCAACGAGACAGTCTTCACAAATTCACATAATATTATCATATTTAATTAATAATTTCTTAACGGCAATTCTAAAGCTTTTTTCTTTCCACTTAATAAGCAGATCATTTACGAAGTTAATTCAAAAAGAAATTGAAAGTAAGATGGTGTGTGAATCTGTCTACATGATGTTATGGGAATCATAAATTACTGCGAGACAGTTATTATGACGCACGGTATATAAAAATACTAAATTAATACATTTTTTTTTCTCACCGATCAATCGTACGGTACGAGGGAGACTAGTCAAAGTGCGGAGGTAGTTGTATTTTAAAATGTTGTGTTGGATCTTAAGACTAAATTAGTAATTACACAATTATTATTACTATTAAACTATGCACAATAAAATGTATTTTTGGAATATAAAAACAGTTAAAAAAATATACTTTCTTCCATGAATTTAACACTTATTTATTAAATTAAAATAAACTGGGTATTTTTATATTTCTCATCATACTAATATTATATAATTATGTGAAAGTTTCTTTGTTTTGATGTTTGTACGTCAATCACAGTACTGGACGGATTGTTATGAAATTTGGTATACAGGCAGGGTATGGGCGGACTTAGGTGATAGGATAGAAGTTTTTAACCCGATTAAATACTCCCATGGGATAAAACAGAAATCATATTCTAAGTAAACTAAAAGATACACGTAACATAAACATCGGCAACATTTTTTGATTTGGAACATTTGAGAGTTGTTTGGATTTCAGAGTTATATGTACTTTCTAAGATTATTTAAACACCACTGACAAACGGTGAAGGAAAAACATCGTGAGGAAACCTGGACTTATAATTTCTAATTATAAGTTTGAAATCGCCAACCCGCATTGAGCAAGCGTGGTGATTAACGCTCTAATCTTCTCCGTGTGAGAAGAGGCTTTGCTCAGCAGTGGGCATTTATAGACTGTTGATGATGATGATGGGATTTCAGGGATTGAGGAATAGGGGGGGGGGGGTAATTTAGTCTCACACAACGAAACACAACGCAAGCGTTGTTTCACGTCAGTCTTCTGTGAGGTCGTGGTATCACACCGGTCGAGCCGGCCCACACTTAAACACATACATCTCATCAAGGCCACGTCTAGAGTTCACCGTTTTCCTTATCAGTAGTATAACAGGACACATTCGATTTTTTATTCCTTTATTAAACCAAACGACTACATTAACTAGATTAACCATTTACTGATATCGGTACTTACTATCTTCTCGCTCGATAATTATTATGGTTCAGCATTAAATTCACATAAAACCTTACGGCCAATATGAAGACGTAAATGCGTTATCAAATCGATAAACAGTAAAATATAATTACTGCATTTATTAATATAGATTTTACGATTATGGAGTCAATTTTGTTCCAAGTCCGAAGTTGCAGTGGACGTACCCAGATTCAGCAAACTTGTTGGTCATGTAGTGTAGCCATGAGGTGGAAAAAATTACGGTTTATTTTTCTCCAATGACTGTAAAATCATGGTGAATTGAGTAAAACATACCTATTTGAAATAAACCTTATTTGACGCCTTTATTACCGCCGTACTCAGAGTCATTTAATTTAACCCAGTAAGTATTTAATAGTTTTCAGAACAAGATTGTAACTAATGATTCAGTTTAATTAATCATTACATTACGGCGAGTACCGCCGTTAGTATTTAAATAAAATGTGCGACTTGTAAATAAAAAGAGTTCTATTACTAAAATTAGGTACTATTTTACAAATAATACTTTTATAACTCCACTTTCCAGGTTCTAGAAAGAAAGAACAAAGAAAAATAATTTATTTGCCATTAGGCATGATTTACCAAAATACGCAAACATAGAACAACAAAAAAAAAATATAAAAAAAATAAATAAAAAGAACAACAAGGTGGCAACATGCCCATGACAAAAGGGTTTGCCAACTCAATATGAGCTGTGTACAATTCAGTATGAGCTGTATACAACTCAGTATGAGCTGTATACAACTTAGTATGAGCTGTATACAACTCAGTATGAGCTGTATACAACTCAGTATGAGCTGTATACAACTCAGTATGAGCTGTACACAACTCAGTATGAGTTGTATAGTACAAATTTGCATACATATCATCACGCCTTTTATCCTCGAAGGGTTAGGCAGAGGTGCACATAATGCCACTACAATATAACACCCACTTTTCACAATTTATGAGTCCCATGGAATGGGGGTAAGCCTATTGCCATATTCCGGGCACAATTCCAGACTCCGTGCTACTACTAAAATTTTTTTTATAACCCAGTAGTACTTTGTCCGACCCGGGAATCGAATCCAAGACCACTCGGCCAACGAGGCAGTCTTCAAAAATTCACATAATATTATCATATTTAATTAATAATTTCTTAACTACAATTCTAAAGCTTTTTTCTTTTGACTTAATAAGCAGATCATTTACGAAGTTAATTCAAAAAGGTTTTCATTTGGCACTCTTGCAGTGACGCACAGACGGAGTCTTAAGTTATTAAACACCTGCAAAATTGAACTCAAACTTTCTTTTTTTACAAATGTTTTATACACCAAACTCGTATATCTAGTACTCTAGAGTCATGTCTAACAACTTAACAAAACTCAGGTCGTCGCTCCAAAGACCGTGCGAACTACCAACCTAATAAATCATTATGCTAAATAATATTATTTATATCTATTCCATTAGCAATCTCACAGTAACCCGCTAAAGTAAAATAATTAAAAAAATAGTACTACTAAGAAACTTAAGTGGGTATTTTCACACGCGGTTTGTTAGATACATCTTACTTGGTTCCTCCTTTATTTAGTACATGTTATAAAATTACAGCCTCTTTGGCCGAGTGGTCGCAAGTGCGACTGCTGGGCAAGGGAACTCAAGTTCGATTCCCGGGTCGGGCAATATATAACAGGGTTCCAAAAAAAATCTCAGTTGTAGCACGGAGTATGGAAATATGCCCGGTTATTGCCATATGGCAATAAGCTCACCCCCTATTACATGGGACTCGTATCATAAATAGTGAAAAGTGGGTGTTACATTGTACAATGGCATTAAGTGCCGTAATGTGAACCTCTGTCTATCCGTTCGGGGTTGAAAGGCGTGATGTTATGTTATGTCTTAAAATTAAAAGGATCTTTACTTATTACTAAATATCACCTAATTGAAATATCACAGATTAGTTATATCACTTAATTGAAGTGATATTAAAATTTGTTGTGATAGTATTTATTTTTATAGTGTATTTGTCACATATTAAATTTTATAGGCTTTATTGACTATGAATATTAAATTTAAACAACTATATCAGGCATTAAAATTTATATAATTATGTAAATCTACCTGCTTCCAATGTGTGTTCCATTCACAAATTTTAAAAATATGCGTAGACATAAAAAGATAAAACACACAAATAATAATTTAAGTATAGAATAAAAAATAATTAAATAATCATAATAATAAATCAGAAAAGAACACAGAAAATATCGCCGAAATAATTTTAAAAACCGTTCCATAAAACACACACACACACACACACACACGAACACAATATCGCGACAGTCGCGATATAGTCGGCGCGGGCGCATCAAAGAGAATTCCTACTTGGATCGCGTCGCGGTTCGGTAGTCGGCACTCCAGATAGCTTTTTTATACCAAAGCTGTATACATTGTGCAGAAATAAGTTGTTTTCGTCCAATATATTTATGTGGTTTGAGGAAATTGGGATGTTGGGCCAATGATTGTGTGTTGGCCCAAAAGTTGCATGTAGATTGAATATGTGATTTGTACAGTCAAATATTTTATTGTATGATTTTATCTATATGTATAAAAATGAATCCCTATTTTTCCCTTGGTCATGGCATCGCGCGTGAATAGCTGGACCGATTTCACTGATTCTATTTTTGTTGTATTTGTCATTATTAGGAGAAGGTTTTTGAGACAGAAAAAATCTTGAAAATCCTGCGGGAATGGGAAAAAATGGGATTGCGCGTACGAAGTCGTGGGTAGTAGCTAGTACCTAATAAAAGAGAGCACTCTTAATTAGTTTACTACACAAAGTTTAAAAGTACTATAGGTAATTTTAAAATGAGTTATTTCTAGTCTATTCTTCATGTGCTTGTAAACTTGTATGTTTGTAAACGCACCCACGACACCGGAGAAAATCCTAGTGTGGGGCAACGTTTTTTTTTTAATGAAAAGAAAGAATAAAGAGAAAATTTTAAATTATTGACCGATTTCTATCTCCTGCAAGATATAAAGAATAAAGATACTTAACTTTTCTAATTTGATTTGAACTTTATATTAAACTTTACTTACAGGGTCAATAATTCTCATTTCTATGTTAATCCACTTATGTAGTCATGCTAAAATGATTATCCTAGCAATTATTAGGAAAGTACAGACACACCGACAGATCACAGATATTTTCATGATTATTCTCAGTGTGACCACGGCCTTAGACCAGTTAAGTTACATATAGTTTGATAACGGCGGCATCGTTTGTGTGTTTATTGATCGCATCGCATAAACCGTATTATGAATTCTGATCTAAATAGAAATGCGTTTGGGATTTTAATATATATATTTTTGTGATTTTAAAAAGCCTGGTCTAGCTAGAAAAAGGTTTTTGAGATTGATTTATGTAGCTTGTGAGATGTAACTGAACTTTTAAAACACTTAATCGACAAAATATATTTTTTACTCTTTTATATTTAACTCGTCGAGTACCGGTTTTGTAGACACAATTATAGAACAATAGGTTGCGGTCACCGGTAACCGCTTGGTGTTTGACAGTTTAAAGAAAATAGTATTTCAATGCTCAGCATTAAATTTTATTTCAATATTTATCGCACAGCCTACTAACTTATCAGGCGAAACTTCGTTCATAAACTTCGTTTTATATTCACACCTTATCGTAAACAAAAAAAGCAATATTCTATCGGAGCCCACGTAATTGAATAAATAAATTAAAATCCTATAAGGCCGTACATCACTACGCAAATAAAGTAGGCAAAACGAAGCGTGGACAGTCGACCAGCGAGAGATATTATCGTCCCCCCATCTGTCCGGTCGCCTCTCCATATCTAGAATTTTCTATCCTCTCATCTTGAAATACACCTACCCTTACAACGGATAAAGAAACTACCTATCCTCGATCTAGAGCACAAACAAGCCGCTAATTAATCCATGCCATTCGACGTCACTATATGAGATTTATTGCAATCCATTCCATTATAATTCCGCGGAAACTTCAATGTGAACAAGTGAAGATCAACCTTCAATAGTAAAAGTCGGAATTGGGGACGCCAATTAAATCGTATCAAAGAAATTTAGAGACGGCTCTCAATAAACATAAACTGTCCAAAGATCCATAGCGAAATTTACGGTTGTCAATAAAATTGGTTCATTAAAAATTTTTGCTTGATTGGAATTGTATAAAAACATTTGATCTGATTTATAAAAAGCGCTCACTGATCGCCTAATCACCGTAAAATTCGTTCGGATTTTTTGATAGTAGTATTTCGAGAAACTAATATCAATAAAGTGAAAATATTCAATTTTGAAGAATGATAATTATAATGTTGTGTGTGTTGATGGTGGAGAATTTATGAATTATGACGTGAAGTGTCTTAGGAAGCTATGTTTAGAAGATTTGTTGCTTGTTAGCATAAAAATATATTTTAATATCTGATAATGAAGCCTGATTGAGTGATATCTATAAAATTGATTGTTGGCTTTTCAACCTGTTTAATGTCATCACCCTTCGTGAGAAAAATATAGCACTATAAATAAAACGGCGGTCTTGTCTGTCTGTATAGTTGGAATAGTATTTTATTCAACTAATGGGAGTTGTTGAGAATGTGTTTCTGATATATTTTTATGTCAGGCTAATGATTTGACAGATTGATTAGAGATCAATGGAACAAATAGGTTTGCTCTCGTTAAATCCTTATTTGGAGATCAATAAAATTTGATTGACCCAAAAATTTCAGTCAATTTGTTTTGAATTGTAGTTTTAAGATAACGTTTTTGTTAACATGTCGGCGCAGTGCGCTTTACGTTGCTTAATTAAAAGAACATATTATTGTGTTACGTTAAAGCTGACTATTATTATGTTACCGGGTTTTTTAAGTCCTGCTCTTTTTATAATATCATCACTTAACTGAATTTTTCTTCCACAGATTCACCACTAGACCTATCCACATCACTTCTCTCCAGGGTGCTTCTTCCAATATCCCCTCCTTCTGGTGCAGAAGATGAACACAAATCCGTATCAGGAGATTCCCTCACGTCATCATCAGCCGGTTCATCAAACGAACTCCTGGATATGACTCCTAAAAAAAGAAGACCAGCCAAGTCTGAAAGGGCGTTACTACCCTGTGAAGTTTGTGGGAAAGCCTTCGATAGACCTTCGCTGTTGAAACGTCATATGAGAACACATACTGGTAAGAGACTCTTAATATAATTTATTACAAAAACTTGTGGGTCTGCTTTTACACCCTTTCAATGTAACATAAATGAATAGGAATACACGAATAAAATTTTGATACGTTAAACTTCCATAATCTATATATATAAATGAAACTCGTTTCCCGTAGTCACGCCATAACTTGAGAATGGCTGATTTCTTTTTGTGGTGTTTGTTATCGTCAGGAAAAGGTTCTTATGCCAGAAAAAAGCCCTGAAAATCCTACGGGAATGGGAGAAACGGGATTGCGCGTACAAAGTCGCGGGCAGAAGATAGTTTTAAAATAAAGTACAATCATTTTACACTCACAAAATGTTGAGCGCCAGTTATTTTTGAGAGAGTAAAGTCATCCGATGACTTTTCCCGCCTTGGGTTAAGCGAGCCACGTACTTATCTATACTAATATTATAAAGAGGAACGATTTGTAACTATTTTTGTATGTTTGTATGTTTGTAATGAATAAGCTCAAAAAGTACTGGGCCGATTTAAAAAATTCTTTTACCAATAGAATGCTACATTCTTCCAATTTTACATAGGCTACATTTCATTTTGAAAAAAAAAATTGTCTACCCCGTGCGAAGTCAGGACGGGCTGCTAGTTTCTTATAATTTTGTTACGTAGTATGTTTATGTTATGAAAAAGGTAAATTATGTTAATGTTTAAAACATATTAAATTATACACAATATTAAACATAAATATGAAACGTAAGTTTGGTCTTAAACTTAATTAATTAAGCTACATATCTTTATGAAATTTGTCTTGACGTAGTTTCCCACAGTAAGTGACATATTTATTTGCTCTACCTATGGAACCTGGAAACAAATTCTAGTTAATAACACAAATAAATTATTAATTAATTCAACCAATAACTTTTGGCGATTCTTAATTAAAATAATCAAATCTATATATGTATGTAGGTTCATCGTAAATAAATTTTAACTAAGAAATTGACTACTGTAATATAATTTACTGGCATGTCATTTTTGATTACATAAAAAATTTCGATTTTATAGACATTTATTACTTTTATGTTTTATTTATAACGCTAAGGAAATATCAAATATTATTTGCAGAATCCACTTTTAAAGCTAGCCAGTCAGTTAAAGACATAAATCAATTATTATTCTAGATCACGTAGTATTTATAAATCAGCATTTAATTTCGAAGTTCTAATTAAATTTCTGTGGGTCATAAACTATATGAGAAGCATTCGACACATTAGAAATGCATTTTTGTGAGCTTCTTATGATATATTCAGCCAATATTTTGAAAGTAGAGCATATATTTTTATTCTAAACACATTAATCATATTATTATGACAAGTGTAAATATTGATACATAAATTTTAAAATTAGAACCTAACGGGTTACCGGGGCTCCGGCTCATAGTGCAGGAGAAGGAACGGGGAGGTTTTTAGTCAGTGAGAGTCTGACACTCCCTCCCGCCTCACCCAGGTGGGAGCAGTCATTCGATGATTTTCTCCCTTAAAAAAAATCTCAAAATTGTACACTACCAAATATGCGAAGTTAACAAGTCATCTGAAAAAGATTCTGGTTTCAGGTGAAAAACCGCACGTATGTATGGTATGCAACAAAGGCTTCAGTACGTCGAGCAGTTTAAACACCCACAGAAGAATCCATTCAGGGGAGAAACCTCATCAATGCCAGCATTGTGGGAAGAGGTTCACAGCCAGCTCCAACCTGTACTACCATCGAATGACTCATATAAAGGTATGATTATCAAAATTCTATCTCATGTCGAAAATCAGGAAACCTCTATTGATTAGCGCAGTGTCTGAATAACCGATAACTGCGCAATGTTGCGATTTTGAATCACAGATGGAATATTTGTTTCTTTGTGTATATTGTTTTGGGTCTGGATGCGTAGTGTGTAGGAATATTAAAAAATAATAATAACGCTTACTGTTTTCTTCTATTTATCCTTAATTTGGCTTTTTCGTATTCTACTCTATATTTGATTCATCATTTTCATCAAGTCTGCGAGTCTACTTAAACTTTTTTATTCTTCAAACGACTCAAGCTTCAAAGATACAAATATTACACCCAGATCAGTAAGCCCCAATCCTTTGTTTAGGTTTCATATTATATAGTTCACACACAGCTCCATTCTATGCGTGTGCGTCGGTCCGTAGAAGTCATGCCCACCGGACCATACCCGTGGGAATAGGTCGTAGGTTGCGTTGATTCATTCCGTGAAAAATCATTCCATTTTTTTAACCGTTTTTGCTAATATTGTCATGTTTTTAAGTAAGGCTTTATTGATTTTGATCATTATGGTTTGAAAGTACAGTTCAAAATTGATTATCAGAGTATTGGTTTTGTTGAGAGGTATGTGGGATTGTGGGTGGAAATAATTATATGTAATTGTGCAATTACCATATTTTTCTGATTTTTATTTAATATTATTTCATGCCTGATCATGTTACCTCTTAGTTAGAACCGGTTACAATTTTACGTAAAATAAATATTTAACAATTGAAAGTTACTATGTCATAAATTTATTTCCGAACACAAAATAATATTTTGTATAATATTAAATTTTAATATTTTAATGTCATATAAATGATATTTATGAGACTTTTATCTACATCTGTATTTTTTTAACAATAAAGTCATTAATTATTATCATTAAAATTTTCATATTTTTTGTTTACATTGACGTCAAAGTATTGTTTACCATATTTTTCTGAATTGGATAATTTTTAGCCGTTTTTTTGGTAATCTTAAATGAGTAGGTTATATAACTATATAATGATAAAAAGGAATAATCGCTACTGAATAAATAATTTGCAAAATATTTGACTAAAGACCAAAGACGGGTACCTAAATGTCCAAAATAGGGTAGATGCCTAATTTTTATTTTAATGTCCGTCTGGTAGATTATTTTAAAACATTAGACACATATTTATTATTTTCTAACAGAAATGGATACTTTCGACGATATATTGCACGTCGCGTGACGTCACTTCTATGTACATTTCATACGTAGAAATGACGTTTTAGCCCCACTCCTAAACTTTGATTCGTTATATCTAAGTATTTTTATTATATGACAAAATAAAAAAATACGTATCTAATATTTTTTCATTATCTAACTTACGGACTAATTTGATTTATAATTTTCATACCCTGTCATCATCCCAATTGTCAAACTTCTTATCTATGTCATATCTTATATTATCCATGTGAAAAAAGCTACTTCATTAAAAAATCGATTCACATCTAACGACATGACATTTAAAATCGATTAAAACATAAACAATACATAATAAAAATCACAGCATATGCTAACAACGGAAAACTAACATCGATTGAGAAACATTTGCGAAATACTATAAAAAAACATCATTTTATCCTTGAACAAGGAACAATGATGTCAATTATAGTTTTTATAATGATAATTCACATGAACGTATCCTTTTCATTGCGTTTTATCTCGAAGATGCATTTAATTGCACCGTCTTTATGTTGCATGCGATATAGGTAGGGCAGGGTTAAGTTCCGTGTTTATGGAATAGAGAAGATTCGTCTAGTTACATTAGTGAAATATATAGAAAAGTTGAAACTTTCCTATAAATCCGGTGGCATTTTCCGTCACATTTAAAATTTTTTCCTTTATAATACCAGACAATAAAATATTCTACTAAAAAATCCGAAATCTATCTATAGACCATTTAACTGATGATAGCACATACTTGTGGAAGCATGGTCTGCCATTTATAGTTTTGTATTGTTACTCTGTAGTGTATTGCGCTGTTTCTGTTTTATCTATTAAATAAATAAATAAATAACATGACCAAAGAAATAGAGATTTATTCGTCATTACTGAGATAAGGCTTAATAAAAAATAGACTGTTAGACAAAAGAGTTTCTAAAAAACTCTTTTGTCTAACAGTCTATTTTTTAAACAGTCACTATGGAGTTTCCTTGGTCATTCTTCTTCATTCGAAACTACACTTTGGATCGAACGACTATCTTCATTGACACACAGACGGACGGACAATTCAATTTTTGACGTTTCAATATTGTCTAATTAAGGATTAATTGAAATAAATACTTTGACTTTGACATTAAGAATATTTTTTTGAACTTAACACTTCTATCAGTCGCGGAGAACCTAACGGGTTACCGAGGCTCTGGCTCGAAGTGCAGGAGTAGGAACGGGGTGGTTTTTAGTCAGTAAGAGTCTGATAGCTCCCGCCTCACCCAGGTGGGAGCAGTCATTCGATGATTTTCCCCCCTTAAACAAACTTCTATCAGTAGGTATCAATCAATAACAAAGTATGGAAACAACAAAACGTAAAATCTAATATATTCTCACAGCCAACATTCAATTATAATTACAAGAAAATATTCTTCGTTCTCCATACAAGACAATTAAGTAAAGTTCTAAATGATGATAATACACCTAAGTGCTATACTATGGTTTGGTAAAGCCACACATTATACTGTGGAGTTACCGTGTTCAGTTCCCATAACGCCCCACCTTAAGTTTTTACTTATTTAACTATGACCTCATGTGTACACGACTTAAGAAAATCACACAAATGTCTACGGTCAGTGAGCACAGGGCTGCCCCGAACTATATTTTGAAAGAAGAATTAATTTTAAAATTTACTCAAGTCTATTATCTAATATTATTGCTTTAGGTAAACTTATTTAAAATACTCGACTAATTTCGAGGCACGTCGGAATCTTAAGCAAGAGCTACGTGTTCAACATCACGCAACCAGCAGTGTTTTTACTTCATTCACTATGCCAAAAATTTATTATTTAAATTAGTAAAGATACCATAGACCTAGAATATGTAGAATTAATTCGATGTCCGAACGTATCAAATTTTTCTATCGGAAACAAAACGAATAAGCGAAGATTACAAGACCCAAAGACTTTATTCCGCCAAACCTAATCAAACCAAATCAACGATACCTTCTTCCAATATAAGACACTATCTAAAACCAAATCACCAAAGACATACGTCGCAAGAAAAAAAACAGGAAAAAAATAAAATAAAAAAACAGTCGCCATGCTCTACATCCCTTATTCCTCAAGACGCACCTGCGGTCACAGGTAGTTACTGTTAAGTAAGGGCCAATAAATTGCAGGTCAACGTGGGAACTCCTATACTCATCAAGTGTGACGCATACATTGATGTATCGACGATATGAAACAATGCTGAAATCATTAAAGGCAATCCGGTATATTATTCCGACTGATTCACTTTCTTTGATTTTTTTTATTGTTCTGGTCATTTCGTGATATTTAAGTCGAGGACTTTGTTTCTGGTTTGTCAATATTTGATAATAATAAAAAAATGTGATTTAAAAGTTTTGCAATTCTGTAAACACATTAGGGTTGACACAATTATAATACAGTAGCTACTTGTGCGCGGTTTCACCCGCTCTGCTCGGCTCCTATTGGTCGTAGCGAGATGTTTAATGACCTATAGCCTTCTTTGATAAATGGACTACACTACACAAAATTATTCAACTATTCAATTCACAGAATTATTCAATTCGAATCAGTAGTTTTGGAGATTAGCGCGATCAAACAAACAAACAAAAAAACAAACTGTTCAGCTTTATAACATTAGTATAGATTTTACAGAGCCTAAACTAAACTTTAAATTTAAATTTTGGGAAACTGCGAGCTGTCATGGAAAATTACTCTAAGTTTATCTTTTTGATTAAAATTAATACTCAGACTTCTTCGTTAAACACCTTAATCGTCGAATAACAACACTCCGTGTAAATAACACAACAATTAATAAGATTTAAGATAAAAATATCGTAATAAAATCATACGTGAATCCGAAACAAAAGACTCGAGTAGTGTCCTGACGCAAAAGATTAAAATCAAAAGAGCGTAAATACTTTAATCGTTAATTTGGAAAATGACTCTTAAGCACCTAAAGCTAGAATTGAGAATTAATTAAATGCAGTGTCTTAACAATTTTTAGTTAAATAGTCAGTTGAAATAATATCGTATTCATATCATTTTGGTTTTCGGTATTTGACTTACGCCCTTTTTAATATGGCAGTGCGTTACAGGTTCACATACGATCGTGTGAACCATATGGCCACGGTCTGATGCTCCTGGCGTCTTCGGCAACGTCTTTTGCTTACGATACGGTCCGTGAACTCATGGGAACTCGAATTTCGGCAGTTAAAACGTTTTTCTACAAGTCCAGTAATGAATATAATTATTTGACAGACCTAACAAGTTAAATTTTTAGTTGTGTAAAGTAGCAACCCTAGCTAAAAATTCAAAATTAGATTAATAAATTTTTTAAAAGCGAATGAAATAAATTACAAAGTTGGCGATAAAATAAATTCCATAAAATTCACCAATTTGTCAATTTGCAAAAAAATTTATTCGCTTCTACGTAGGTATCTGTTAAAATATCTATAAAAGCATAATTATGAAACAATTTACGTTAATTTATTTAATCGGTTTGAATAAAATTATTTCTAGACCACTTATTGGAATCTAAATCTAGATTGGTTGGTATTTGAACATCTGTGAGTAGAGAAAATTGATAGACTACCATTTATTCGTTAGGCCTTTGATCGATCGGCTATTCTGCCTCGTAAAATGGATCTTTTCAGCTGTCACAAGGCTGAGCCGCTGAATTAAACTGGACAGTATTGGACGGATCGTTAAGCATAGAAAAGGTAAATAATAATGCAGGCTTCACAATAGCTTGATGG